GGTGACTGAGTAGGAGAAACATGGACCACGAAGTATAGTAGAAAGATGGAGCAGGTAAAGTGGGAGGCTTGGTGAAGTGGGCGGAGTGGGAGGAAGATGTAGTAGGTAAAAATTGGTGTAAAATATTGTAGGCAAAGTGGGTGAGAGGAAGAGTGGCAGAGTGGGGGAAAGATGGTGTCGGAAGAGTGGGTGGAAGATGGAGTAGAAAGAAGATGGAATGGGAAGAAGATGAAATGGTCAAAGTAGGTGGGAAATAAATCATTTTGGGTGAAAGCTAAAAGGACAGAATGGGAAGAAGATGGAGCAGACCGAGTGGGAAATTAACCGCAAAGGGTAGAAGATGGGGTGAACAGAGTGGGTACGAAATTAAGCATAGAAGGAGTAGGATGGTGTAGGTGAGGGGAAAATGGGGGTGAAATAAAGCACAATGGGTGGAAGAGTGGGTAAAAAGGGTTAGAAGTTAATCATAGTGGCTGGAAGATGCAAGGACAGAGGGGGAGGAAGTTGGAATGGACAGATTAAGCAGAAGATGAAGTGGGCAAAAGGGGCAGGCAATGACGTATAGTGGGTGGCAGACGGAATAGACAGAGTAGGGTTAGATGTGGGCATGCGGTACTGTAAGGTATCTGTTTAACCACTGGTTAAGAACCAGGAGCTTATGGTAAAACCTACATCAAGATTTTTTTTGCAGGTACATCTTATATCAACAACAAAGAGTTTAGTATTTCCTTGTAAAGAGGATATCTCGAGGAACTATGTAGTAAAAGAACTAAAGCCATGACATTCATATTCCCCCACAAAGCCCGGCTCCAAAGAAGCTGTTATCTGAGATCTACCTGTAGATGGAGAGATAAAACTCAAAAAATTGCTTACTGGAGGCTGTGCGTTTTACAGTAGTGGTCGGATTGGTTTTCTTTTGCTGGTTGTTGGCTACTCTTGATTTTGATACAATTCCATTGATACCTGCAGGCGGTTTCTTGCTCTTCAGCTGTATAGATAAAGCAAATTTCCATTTCAATTATTTTATTGAGGTTTTGTCAAAAGTATACAATACATGGTAAGCAGCAAACACAAAGAAAATCATAACTACAGGTACCTGGATAATGTGTATAGCATTGTCACGATCAATATGCCTGCATTCAAGTCTCATGAACCATCCGTGTTTATACATAGGGTGGTTAATCCAGCACTCCCAGGCTGACATGTATGAATTGAGTTTGCCATTTTTCATAGCAAACATGCGTTCATGAGCACATTGGAGGTTCACCCTACGAATGACATCACTGAAGTCAGGTATAGATGTATCCCTCCAATGTAGCACTACCAGTGTCTTAGCTGCTATGGAGGATATGCTTATCAATGGTTCTAGCTCGGATTAGAAGGTCTTCAATGGACAAGTGCAACAAGGCCAGTGCTGCTGAAGGTGCCACCGTACATTTAGACAAGTCCGAAATTAGCTTAAAGATATGGTTCCAGAAGGATCGAACAGACTTACAATACCATAATATATGGATCAGCGAGCCTATCTCATTACAATTCCTCCAGCTGGATAAAGCAAATTTAAATAAGCAATCAGACATCATCACAAAAGAGAAAGCATTTTTTTACAACTGTTCTACAGTCCGGTGTATACAATTACTTATTTGAAACAGGTAACCACAGTGGTTTTCTAAAGGAAACCTGTTGCAAAGGACTATGAAGGTTGTCAAATAGCTGAACACTCCCTCCGAGACTGTTAGTTGCCTGACCTGGTGCAAGTGGATCCGAAGTTCTGATCACAGTAATCTGCATGCTAGTTCCAGGTCAGTGACTCAAAGTATTGATGTGAGCCAACTGGTATCCTTATAGAAAGGTTACTGGGGCCTTGATAAATACATCCTCCTGAACCTTGAAAAACTGGTATTTAGATTTTTGTTCTGTGACGGACATGGTCAACAAGGGGTCAAGTCACATGAATCTCTGAACCTGTTCCTCAGTGTGTGTGTATGTGGGGGGTCAATGTCACTACTGTGCTACTCAATTATTTACTTGCTGATGAGGAAGCTGTATCTGAAGATCTGCAGTACAAGGATATCCCTGCTTCATTCATTCTGTCGATATGTAATTCTAAACCTCTCCAACTGCTTTCCCACCATTTATCAGGCAGGCAGCTTTGATATGAGGAAGTAAGGCCCTGCCTCTACCAAGATGGTTGTCCCCACACAAAGGCACAGTACAGAACAAGGCATGGTAAGTCAGTAATGGGAAAAGGATTAGTTGCAGGAACCCTACAGGCAATATTGTTGACTAGCCCTTGGCCTTCTGCTTGCCCTTTTTGGGCACAGTTTTCTTATTTCAGGTCCTCTTTAAGTAAAGAAGTGAAGTGCAATGTAACAGTTCAAAGTATATCTGTGGCTACTACAAATGAGAGACCAATAAAGATATTTTATAGGTTCAACAGAACAATAACTGTAGGGGAAACATACATTGTTAATGAAAGACAGAGACAAAATGAAATAATTGATTGAAGTAACTATCTATTTGTGGAAAAAATAGGCTTTAGGGGATTTAAATAACCAGCAGAGGAAGAAACAAAGGCTAGATTAGAAGTTGTTAAGGGCCATGGAGTAGCAATTAAGTGTTTAAGGAAGCAATTACATGCAGCAGCTAGAAAGTGTGTTTAGAATAGAAATGTTTCCTTTGAGATTATATTGATTGAGACAAGCCAATAACATAATCCCTTCAAAGTGGAATATATACTGAAGTTTTTTTCCTTCATTTGCCTTGTTACCTAAAATGAATGCATAGCAATGTCAGAGACAGCACACAAATACAGCTGAACTCATCATCATGGCATGCATTTAAAAAAAGATGACCAGATGTGCCAGATATATAGTGCGTGTGCACATGGTGTCAGCCCTGCCTACTTCATTTCTGATGGATTACAAAGAACACAGACCTTTTCTCATCTCCATAACGCTTCCTCGTGCATAGGCAGAGAGCACAGGAAGTTATCAGCTCACAAGATATATAGCAAAATCAACAGATATTTTCTGCACTAGGATATAACAAAACAAGTTCAATGTTATATTTAGCAGACCAAAGGGGAGCAAATAGTTGAAGTTCTTTTTGGGGGGTTTACAAACACTTTTAGAAAACTGTCTGCATCACTTGCCCTCTACTGGACTCTCCATAGCAATATATGGAGTCACTTAGACTTGGTATGTTACATCTGCATTGGTGGCATGGGGAAATCCCCCCTATGTGGTCCAAAATTTAACTTAACATCTTGCAAAGGAAAAAAACCTGCCTTGCCCAGAAAATCTAACAGGTATGAAGGCCTACTCTAAAGTGGAATTGCACTAAAAATGGCTGTATTTGTATAGGTGAAGGTTAATGGGGGAACCTGTCCATATGGTATGATTTACAGGACTGATGCAGATCAAGATCAAGATTTGGTGGGTTCTAATTGCAGATGCTGCCTTATGGATTATGAGGATTTCCTACTGGCTGTAAATGTCACTGACACATAGACAGTAGCAGTGAGGGGAGGATATCGGTCTAGGAACTTCATCAAGTCTGCCCAAGTGACTTTAAATAACATTATATCCTCCCAGCCCTACACACACATCAGCAGACTGCACATTAATACTAATTTATGAGCTATTAAATATTGGTTGTTCTTCAGCACTGAGGCTTTGATTTTTTAAAAATATAATAGTATGTGTTTATCTGTGGAACTGAACCTTACTGGATAGATATGTGTAACATTCAGGACTACATGTCTGCACAAGTGTTCAACCACCCTGGAAAGTAAATATAAACTGGCCATGTTCAGAAATGGAGCTCTTTGCACTTCACCTTTGGCGCTGCCTATCTGTTTTCTCATTAATTGTCCGTAATATGCCAACAATGGCTTTACCTAAGAAGTTAGAACAAAGAGCAGTGTTGATTAGCAAGGTGCAATATCCATTAACATCTGCATTTCACCCTTTGTCAGTCTACTGTATTCAGAACACAGAGGCGATTTTTGACTGGTTGGCATGAATGTGCTGCACTTTGCAAATTGTTTTACCCGTATTAAATAAGCCAACAAACATTTTCAAAGACAGGTGTATGACATAAATGAATGCTCAGAAAGTCTTCCCGAGTCATATCTTGTTATTTTAACATCATTTAGATTTGGAGGATATGGTGTTGCATACCACTGTGCACTATCAGTGAAAAATAATCATAGCTGTAGTACTGTATGTAATACAAATCACTTATTGTCAGCAGTGGTGGTGAGATTCACCAGCATGGAATGTCAATCCTGTCTCTGCAAGTCCAACCACCCAGAGGGGGACAGAAAACTTGCGAAAGTAAGCAGAGGGTCACTGATGATTCATTGGCTGTGGGGAATGTAAGAGGTTCAGGGCAGCTGCCAGCACGGTTTACATGTTTTGTTAAAGAGAGATATTCTGAGATTGTCAAGTCAAGATCCAAACAATGATTGCCTGGATATCAGGCAATCATTCTATTACTTTTACTATCTATCTATCTATCTATCTATCTTCTTATGTACTGAGCTATACTCCTACGCAGTGAATAGCAGAGTTCCATGTGAGTCATTCAATTCCTCTTCCATGCTAACAAGGCAAATCTGCACCGCTGGCTATTGTATTCAGGTAGCCGCCGGTAACACAAAACCTGTCAGTTCGGCTATGAAGCTGCACTACCAGGATTTCATTTAGGGAAGGGTACTTCCCTTCATTAATCTACTGCCCACTAGAATTATGGGAAAAGTTCTTGCATGCAGGCACATGCAGTGAATACACAGACATAAGAAATAAAGTGTACCTGAGTCGGGGATGCCCTCCCCAGAGAAGAGTTGTTAGTGACAGACTGAGAAGATAGACTGGAGGAAACAGGAGATTTGTAGTGGTTAGGAGACAGTTTGTCAGTGGATAACCTATTGGCCTTTTTGTCAGCAGGTGAGTAGCGTGCAAAGATTTTCGGAGATGGCAAGTTATCGTACACATCTGCTTCATCATAATGCACCTCTTCTTTCTTTCTGTGAGCAAAGTCCTCATCCGGTCTCCACTGAAATTACACATACTTGCACTGTTAAAGAACATGCAAAGACTGAAAGACAGTAAAAAGACAGCAGAGAAAGCCTGCAACCTCTATGATGATAGTCCCATCATGCACCTAGGGCAGAATCTAGTTGACAGCCATCTAAAATTTTACAGAGAGTTGGTAACATTGACCATTATATTATTATAACATGTCTCTTTCCTGCATTGTATCATACATACTGTACATCTAAAGCATAATTATAAGCTCATCTGCTTTCAGCCTCCCTAATAACAAGGAGGTCTCTCTGTGTTATATGATATTCTACAGTGTGATTCCAACTTACCCAAATATTGCACATACAATAATTACACACGTGTCATTCCACAAGTAAACCCCATCATTGTGTCAGTGATGCTATGGTGAGATCAAAATCATTCAGTAACGCTATGGTGAGAAAAAAAGTTGTCCAAAATCTTTTGAGCAACTATCCATTAAAAATATCAATCATGACAGCATAGAAGCCAATAAGAATAAAGTACACTTTTAAGTGCACCAGTTGCAGGGTACCAGACAGCAACATGACCCCACATGTGAAGGGTTATACAAGGTATTGCAAGCTGCTGCTGCTGCAGACCCCAAAGTGGATATGGAAATATCTACCTTTGTCAAAGTCATTATTTGCCAATAGCTAGGTACTCTCCACTGCACCGTGGTGTGGCAATGTCTGGTGGTTGGTTACTCTAGGACCCTGCATTACATTATGGAAGGTGGTGGAAGAAGCCATCCTGTGCACCCCAGGCTTGGAAGCTGGAGGGTCCCAATGGGCATTCAGGGAAGGAATTAGGAATTCATGTGTACATGCATTCTTGTGAAAACATGTCTATGGTTGCATGTATGTGTGTGCCAAACCAAAGAAAAAGGAAGACACAGATGCACAGACTAGAGCAGAAATACTCTGCAAGTAAGAGTGCCAAAAAACCCACTGAAAAGGTGTTGTCCCATACCATACCATACATTTCCCTAGGTGGAAACCCTATGCCCCCAAACAGGGATGCATGAAACTTAATCCCACCCCATGGTCTTACTACTAGAAGCTCTCAGCATGTGACTGTGCACCTTATATATAATATCTTATTAGCGTAGCTATAGGTGTATGGTTTACAAAGCTGATATCAACTGTGTGTGTCCATTGTTTCTTACCAATCCATTAATACATGGAACATCATCATAGTGAAGAGCCAGGCCGCTGGGGCAGGAATAGCCATTTGTAGGGGCTTCTCGATAAGGATTAGTGGATATTACCCTTCTGTTCATGAAACTAGAGGAGCAAAAGACAGAGGAAAATATATTATTCAGTGACATTAGGGGTATTTAAGCCAAATATTGTTTTATATACCTAAATGCAAATTTTAACTGATCAATCTGAAAAAGAAAAAAAAAAAGAAAACTGCTTTCTGCTGATCATTCGTTTGAAGTGACACTAAACTCAGGAGTTAAATCTTAAAAGGAGAACTATGGGGTAAGTGCTTTTCCACATAGTTCTCCTAAGGGTCATGGGAGGACATATACTAGCATCCTCCCGTGACCCAAAGCTCAGTACATCGCGAGCTACAGCTGGCGGTATACTGAGACCGCCGCAGCCGGGACGGATCCCGATATTACTGTTGAGATCCACCCAGCTGCGTGAGTGACAGCTGGCGCTGCCTATCTAGAGGCAGAGCCAGCTGTACCCGTCCCCTCCCCCGTCCGTTCCGCCAGTCAGCGCTGGAGGATCGGAGTGGGGAGGGGAGGAATCCCTGCAGGGAGCCGTGAGTGACAGTCACCACTCTCTGCAGGGATATGATCGAGAAGTGAGTGAGCGACGGTATGTGTTCGCTCACTTTCCGATCTATTGAGCCGACGTGTGACAGTTTATTGTCGGCTCGAACTAGGAGGTTGAGTGAAAATCACTCACCTCATAGTTCTCCTTTAAAAATACATTCTTGTACCCTATTAACAAAAATGTATGTTATTTGTCTATCACTCAGCTGTAGATCCTCAAATCATCTCTGAATTGGTGCTGACACTGTCCTTCCTTCTGGAGGGTGGCTACTTTTGTTCCTCATGGTCCCTGTGTGTGTTGTAAAGTAGTCACCGCTCCAAGCTCGCTCCTGTGATGGACTACAATTTCAATACATATTAGTAAACTAAACGTAAGATTGTAGTCCATGACGGGAGCAAGCTTGGAGCTGTGACTACTTTACAACACACACAGGGACCATGGAGAACAAAAGTAGCCCCCCTCCAGAAGGAAGGACAGCGTCAGCACCAATTCAGAAATGATTTGAGGATCTACAGCCGAGTGATACACAAATAAGATACATTTTTGCTAAGCTACTTGAACATATTTTTAAGATTTAACTCCTGAGTTTAGTGTCACATTAATATGGTGACACCCACACTTGCCTGTTGAAGGAGCTAGAACATTTTCCATAATGGACTGTGCAGCAGGTGTGCAGTCCTGAGCATTCAGATGCTAAGCATTTGTATCTACTTGTTCTATGATTCCATATTAAACTTCCTGTGCATGGGTGCAGGAAGCAAGCCAACACAGTATGCAGTTGAAATGTGCTTGAGTTGCTTCTCACTTGCTCTTGGGTTACTTAACCAAGGCTTTGACAAGGTTTTGTATGCATTCACATGTCATAGGTAAAGAAGTAATTTAGATGCAGCAAATCAAATGTTGCATTTACCAAAACTCGATGCAAAGCAAACACAGTAATACATTTAAGTGAACACACTGCTCTACGAGATCCAGTTCAAAATCCTGGTGCCGAAGCTAGCCGAAGGATCGGCCGAAGCTACGGCCAGATCCTTCGGCAGCTTTGTGAATAGACCCCTATGTTCCAAATCCATCCAAAAGTGCCAGAATCAGACAAAAAAAAGTCCTCATTTTTCATTGCCCTAATTACCTTACCCTAATTTTATTCCATAATAGTTACTTATTAAAGAATGGTATCGAAAGTGACAATATAACTCTCTACTAACAATCAGTACTGACGCTCAGAGAACTATTGATAAGTCCAATGTTTCTGTATATTCTCAATATGTCCCCAGAATGCTCTTATAGGGTGTGGAAAGGATGGAAGAGAACCAAGATGATGTTATCTCCCTCCTCTCACATCAGATTCATCAGTCACTCCCTCTTCTCACATCAATGACATATTTCTGGACATATTTTTCCTATATAACTAAAGAAAAGTAAATGTCTTCTAATGAAGGATACTGGTAGAAAGCCTGTGGTTCTGGAAAAACAAATTCACTGTCAAGTTTCCAAAGCTTGAGAAATGTTCAGGTCATGGAGGGGGCCACTGTCAGACATAATGATCTTAAAGCAGGGTGACCAATGGCCCTTGCTAGAGGAGATTTCCATAGGCGGCTGTGGGCATACAGTAATGTGTGAGAGTTAAACTCTCACAAAATAATACTTTAGTTACATAGAGCATGGAAAGTAAGGACTTTCCATGCTCTAGACTGCGTTATTTTGTATTACAAAAAAGAATTCCCCTTATTATGTTCATGTTTCCTCTCACTGTGTGGTTTTTTCAACTTATGGTGTGCTGGTGAAATTTTTCTATTGTTCATGTGTGGCGGTGCCATCCGCAGTCATTTCGAGCACCCATCTTCATCAAGTGGGAATCCCGGTAAGGAGCGGTATGGTTCCTTTTTCAGCACCCGGAAGTGGGCGGAGCTAGCGATGGGGACCGGACCGGCGGTTGCAGACAAGGATCGCGGACTCAGCTTCGGTGCCAGGCTTTCTCCCCTTCTCCTCCACGACAATCCTCCAGACGCCCCAGGAGTGTGGCTCCTCCTCCTCGGTCGCAAATGCCTCCTCCGGGTCCAGCTCCTTCAGGTAGCGGCAGGATCGACCGTTCGACTCCTCGGTCGTCGCCTAGGTAACCGGATCCACGGCTCCTGTTAGCGTTGCCCAGAAGTCTTCATCCCAGTGCACAGCCTGTTCCTTCGCTGAGCCCCCAGACGTCCTCTGCTGGTCCATCTTGTGAGCACCCTGCTGTTAATTTTGATTCTTTGCTGAATCAATTCGGTTTATTTTTAGAAGGAAGGCAGGTGGTCTCTCCTGCTTCTGTTTGGATTCCTGTTCCTACCCCATCTATCCCTGATCCTTCTGTGGCTGTTGTTTCTACTGTTAATACCTGTGTGTCTCCTGTCCCTTCTGTTAGAATGGATGTTCCAGAGGTGTGTTACAGGGAGGCTTTGTCTTGTGCTTTGTCTCCGTTAGGTTTCCATTTGTCTGTCGCTTTGAAAGATAGCATTTGGAAAGGGGAGTATGTGGATATTTTGTCCTTACTCCCTTGTTCCAAGGAATTTTTATCCAGGTCTGGTAAAAAAGTTGAGGATGGCTCTGATGTTGATCGCCGCCGGCCTATGGCTAGAACTTTTCAGAACTGGTTACGAGCATTCTGTATCTTTGCTAGCGTTTTAGGAGAAAATCACCCTGCATTATGTAGTGGACTGTTTCAACATGTAGACATAGTTCTGGAGGTATATAGAGGTTTTGGAGGCCTGGGCTGGTTCGTATATTACGAATCATTTAGACAAAAGATGTCGGTTCACAGAACTTTAACATGCGGAGTTAAGAATGTCGGTCTATGGCTGGATCTGCTTCTCCCACAAAAAAATCCTGCAGCCAGGCCTCTCCCTGCCCAGTCTTCCAACTCCTCAATTAAAAAAGGTCTATGTTTTGCAAATGGCCGGACACTTGTCGGTATAGACATGAGTGTGCTTTTTGCAGTGGTTCTCAGCCTGCATTTCGCTGTTTTAAAAAGATGAACACCCCTGGTCACTCCGTAGGGGTGCGGGTTTTCTGGCCGGGACGCATACAGGATCCATTCCGGCGTATGAATACGCTCACCAGCACCCCTACGGACGTGCAGGGCAGGCCAGCGTAGGGGGGCGTACAGCCACGTAGCCCCAAAGAGAAGGACGAGGGCTGCGTACTAATCACATGCAGCACCTGTCCTTCCCAGGAGGTGCTTGGTACGGCCCCGCACACAGCACGGAGCTGTACGTGCCTGCCGATTCGTGTGTGAATGGTGCCTTACCGTTTCTTCTCATTTACCCAGACCAGCAGAAGGGCAGCCTCTTATTTGAAGGATTTTTTCAGGGTTTTCCTCTGCCCACTTTTGCTGGCCCTGGCTGTGTCTGGAATTTTTAGGCATTACTATTGATTCTGTAAAAATTTAATTTGGGCTCCTTCCAGAAAAGATCGAAAACATATCTGATACTATTTGTCTGCTGTTGCGGAAAAAGAAGGTTGTTCTAAAGGATTTGCAATCTTTTCTGGGGGCTCTAGCTTTTGCTACCCGGGATAATTTTTTCTCGACGATTGTATGCAGCCACTGCTGACATACATGAGCAAATCCCCCTTTGTTCATGTCAGATTATCTGGTGAGTTAACCACTTCAAGACCAGGTGTTTAGACCCCCTTCCTGGCCAGGCCATTTTTCAGTGTTCAGCGCTGCAGTCCTTTGACTGACGTTTATTCCGTCATGCAACGCTGTACTGAAATGAATTTAATACCATTTTTTGGGGACAGATAGAGCTTTCTTTTGGTGGTAACCACTGGGGGGTTTATTTTTTACTATAATTAGGAAAAATTACAGAAAATTTTGAAAAAAAAAAGGGTTTTTTTACATTATGTCAGGAAACATTTATTATTACCCAGTTTTTTGGTAAAATATAAAAGATCGGGTCACATCGGGTAAATAGACATGTCAAGCTTTAAAATTGCGCGCACCCGCGAAATCGCAGAAAACTACCATACCCAAAATTGGCCATAGGCGACACTTTAAAAGCTTTTACCGCTCATCAGTTTAGTGTTATCAGTGATTGATGGCCCTAGAATTATTGCCCTCACTCGGACGTTCGCGGCGATATGTAACATGTGCGGCACAATCGTCATGTTTGCATGTATGTATGGGTGGGGACTTTAAAAACATTTTTTGTTTTTTTATTCTTTTTTATGTGTAACTTTAAATTTTGGGGGGGGACTTAAATACGGCAGAGAGCCGTGACAGGATCGAGAGGTGAGCAAACGCAGGTATGTGTTCGCTCACTTCTTGATCTACTGAGGCGACCTGTGACATGTCTCATTGTTACAGGTCGGCTAGAACTATGAGGTGAGTGAAAAGCACTCACCTCATAGTTCTCCTTTAAAGGAGGATTTATATGTTTGGTATGTTTATCTCACCGAGTTTAATGGTAGATCTGTTTGGCAGGATGACTTTATTGTTGACGATGGTTTTAGGTTCTTCACGG